GCTGCTAAGCCAGCTGTTGAAGCCAAACCCACTCCTGCTGAGGCTGCTAAGCCAGCTCCTGTCAAGGTTCCTAAAAAAGTTGAAGAAACTAAAGCTGAACCTCCTAAGGTTGCAAAGCCAGATGCAGAGGTTAAGTCTGCTCCTGTTGCAGCTGACAAGCCAGCTCCAGTACCTAAGCCAGCTGAGGCTCCTAAGCCAGCTGAGGCTCCCAAGCCAGCTGAGGCTCCCAAGCCAGCCCCTGTGAAGGGTGCCAAGCCAGTCACTGAGGTAAAATTGGCTGAGGTTAAGGCAGCACCTGCTGAGGTTGCTAAACCTGCCAAACCAGCCGCTGAGCCTTCTTCTGCTCCTTTAAAACCGGCTCCAGTTGAGCCTGCCGCTACCCGTAAACTGACATTTGCTGAAGCAGTGGCAAAACCTGTGTCTGTTAAACCTGAAGTTGAGGTAATTGGTACAACTGCCTCTGAACCTGTCTCATCACCTAAACCTGCCCTTACACCTGCTAAAGCCCCAGCCAAGGTGGAGCCTGTGATCAAGAACGACAATGGTATTTCCTTCTTTCTCTCCTCTGTGCCATCTGTTTTTCCAACTGTCACTGCATTCTGGGAACTACGCAAATGCTCAGATGTTCCAGTCTCTTGAAAAACTTAGCTTGTGTGGTTTACATAAAACATGGGTTAAATGTTAAACTGTAAGACACTACTTAGGTGTCACCATAGTTCCTCCTGGTTTTGGAAACAGTCTATTCTGTTGTTTGCACACTGTCATAATGTGTGTTTTAATAGTGAAATGGTATGGTGTTAGTTTTTATTTAGTTCATTAAGATGACTTGTGCCGTTGAGGTAAATATAGTTTTAAATGGAGAGTGTCACGTTTTCAACATACAGATTACACAAATTTGAAGCAAAATGGCTTCAAACAGCAACTCTGGTACAGCATAGAATTCATCCATTATGAACAAACTGTATTTTGGGTCATTATTGATTTCTGTTTTATTCCCCAGGATTAATGTACCTTTTTACTTTCAGGTGTACACATGTGCAGTAGTTGGCATGTTGTGACAAAATTTTGTTTTCTGTAGGGTCTGGCACTGATTCGGACAGCGATGACTCAGTCCCTGAACTGGAGGAACAGGACTCCGCACAGACACAGACTCAGCAAGCTCAGGTGTGTCTCCAGTTAGGCCTTGATTATTGTGTTTACTGGTATTGCCCAGGATCAGACAATTTGAGCAACTGTTCTTGGTTGTTGACTCTTCTGTGATGACTTACACAGTGACTTTCGTTCTTCTGAGTCTACTGAAGCCAACCTTTCTGTCCTGAGAAGAGATATATATTATTGTCTAACCTGATTAGTCCCTGCCTCTACATATGCTTTCCGACATACAGTGAATAATTAATGAATTTTCTACCCCCTGTAGCTTGCAGCAGCTGCCGAAATAGACGAGGAACCTGTCAGCAAAGCCAAACAGAGCCGCAGTGAAAAGAAGGCACGAAAGGTAATAGTCCTAGCTCATTTATAGTGTTTCTTAAATGTAAACTGTGGTTTCCTGCAGTATTTTCAACTGTCAAATTTGGCCACGTTTTTTTAAAAATGACGTCTATTTCTTGCAGGCGATGTCAAAGCTTGGTCTCAGGCAGGTAACAGGGGTCACCAGGGTCACCATTCGCAAGTCAAAGAATATCTTATTTGTCATCACCAAACCAGACGTCTACAAGAGCCCTGCATCAGACACATACATCGTCTTCGGAGAAGCCAAGGTAACCAAACAGCAAATTATACCAGCCATGGCTGTCAAGTGATTACACTGGACCTGCTGTGTTGCTAGACTTGTTATCACAAAATGTGATTGCTAAATGATGAATGGATTTCTCATTTTGACTTCTCTTTGTGCCCCAGATTGAAGATCTTTCCCAGCAAGCCCAGCTGGCCGCTGCAGAAAAATTCAAGGTACAGGGAGAAGCTGTATCAAACATCCAGGAAAACACACAGACGCCCACAGTACAAGAGGAAAGCGAAGAGGAAGAGGTAAGATGCACTTTGATTCAGATGTGAAAATGCTAACTTCGTTTTATCGTATGGCCGTTAACAAATCCTTGCCCTGATTGTTTAATAGGTTGATGAGACCGGAGTTGAGGTTAAGGACATTGAACTCGTCATGTCACAAGCCAACGTGTCGCGGGCGAAGGCTGTACGCGCCCTGAAAAATAACAACAACGACATTGTCAACGCTATTATGGTAAGATATTACTTTTTTTCTAATGTTAGTATAACTGTGTGGAGTCTATTAAACAGGCCATGTAAAATGGTTTACTGTCCCCTGATAAATGTGTAGAAATCTCTTCAGTGAGTAGACAGTGACCTTTGTTCTTCTGAGTTTGCTGAAGCCACAATTTCTGTCCTGGGAAGAGAAAAACTCTTTCAAACTGAGGGAAAAACATACTCAAACTTGCTTTAACTTGTGCTTTTCTTTTTTTTTTTTTTTTTGTTGCTTTGCAGGAGTTGACGATGTAATGGGACCCAGTCAACAAGGGGTTGAAGAAAGGTTGCTGATTAAATCTAAGCTCATTTATACAATTTATACCCAAGATGGAAATAAAGTTGTGGCTTGATGAAATGAAACTATAACACTTTTTTTGTAGTTCTTTGGGAAACAAGGGGAGGTTTTGTTGTGTTGTTTGCAGAACTGGTTGTTAGCCTGGTTTGAGGCAGGGACATGGCTGATGTCGCTAAGAGACCTGAACCCCAAACCTGGAACTCTTTCTCTAGTAGCGATTCCTCCATCTGTATTCCTATTTACGTGTCACACAAAGCTATGGAGTCGTGAGAGTACCAAATTACAAAAATAAATCAATAAAAGAATACAAAAATTAAAGTGGAAATAAAAAGACGAAAAAATAAAATAAAAAATAAATACTATATTAATATAAATATTAATAAAAAATGAACCCATAAAAGAAACGGCTAGTAAAAGTAGAAATATAAAGTCAAATAACTAAAATAATAAAAAATAATAATTTATTGTTTTTTGTATTTTTTAAATGTATTTTTTATTTTCTTTTTTTAAATATTTTTTTTTAAATTTATTTTTTAATTTTTAAAATTATTTTTGGCTTTTAAAGTGACATTTAATTTAAAGCAACATTTAAAAGCAAAGGAAATCTGTGCAGAAAAAGGTGCGCAGTAGGAATGTTGAGCGCAGGTGTACAGCGACAAGCCGAGGAGAAAACTTTCAACAGTAACAAGTGTTTTTTTTAACTACGACTGTTATTGTGACACATAATGTGGTTTTAAGATTATTTTAGGCGAGGAAGTTGTGGTATAAACATCAGATCTGTGGTCAATGGATCATGATAAAACCTGCTTAAAATTTTGCTCTAACGATTACGGAGATGCGAGCGTCCCGGTGTGACAGCTGTGACAGCGGTCAGTGCTCACAGTAGCCGCCGTGAGCAACCTTATGTTGGCAAGACTTTCTAAAATGTGCTGCTGGCTCTGACGGTTGTTCTTTAGTGGAGCTGATCCGTTTCCATTAGCAGCGTCATGCTGCTGAAGATGTTCTGTCAAAAGGTCCAGGATGGAGCTGCTCATGTTCTGTGGAGTCTCCCAGCAGTCAGGGAGGACCTGGTTTATGCAGCTGTCCCTCCAATAAAATATTACTTAGATTTTATTTTCAATGCACAGTTACAGTCACAAGATTTGAGCAAAATGGTACCACAGGTGATGAAGACAAGAACGTAATTCAGACCAACTACAGAACCGTCAGAGCCAATGGCAGATTTCAGAAAGTCTTGCCGACATCGGGCTGTCTTTGGCGGCTGTTGACCATCATCGCGGCTGCCAGTCTGAGACGCTCACTTCTTCAAAATCGTTGGAGCAAAATTTTAGGCAGGCTTTATCTTGATCCATTGACCATAGATCTGATGTTTATACCGCTACTTTCTCACCTAGAATCATCTTAAAACTACATTATGTGTCACAATAACAGTAGCAGTTACAAAGAACACCTGTGTTACCTTTGAAAGTTTTCTCTCCAACGTTTATCGCTGGTTGGTGTGAAATGCATTCTGGGATACTTGCTGTCCCAAGTCCACACAAGGCCGTTTCTCAATACTCAAGGACACAAGTCTGTACTTGCGTACTGTTCCTTCTGCACCTGCGCTCGACATTCCTACTGCGCACCTTTTTCTGCACATATTTCCTTTGTTTTTAAATGTTGCTTTAAATTAAATGTCACTTTAAAAGCAAAAAAAAGAGAGAGAAAATATGATTAAAAATAATAATAATGAAAAAATAATTTAAAAAACTAAATTTAAAAATAGAAAAATGACAAAAAATAAATAATTTTTTTTAAAAATAAAGAAATTATTGTTTTATTTTATTTATTTGACTTTATATTTCTACTTTTATTAGCCTTTTCTTTTATGGATTCATTTTTGCTTTATATTGCCACATAATTATTTTTTTATTTCCACTTTTATTATTATTTTTTAAAATTCTTTTATTGATTTACTTTTGCAATTTGGCACTCTCACTACTCCATACAAAGCTCTCTGACTACAACTTCGATTTGACCCTGTGATCTTCACTTGAGCTGACAGTGCTAACTGCTGAGCCACTTACAACACCTTAATGGCAATGTGTTTATTTTTTTTTTACATTTGTGATGCGGTGAAGGTATGTGGGTGTTATATTTGAAAGTGTATGTTGGTGGAAGGCTGCTAGATCATTTTGTCCAACACACTCATCACTAGAGTATCAGTAAAAAGAAATGCCTTTAATTGAATATTCATTAGTTTTTGGTTCAAGTTCAAAAGAAGTATCTGGAGAGCAGCACTAAAGAACTGTAAGTCACCTTGATTATCCTGCTGTGTAAAGGTGGAGGTGAAAGATTGTACATGAAAGAATAATAAAATGGATAAATCTGGTGTGTTCTGATATGATTAATATGATATGAAACATTAGGAAA